TCTCAAAAAAAAAAAAAAAAAAAAAAAAAAAAAATCAAATGCAACTCTTTAGTGTTTGAGAGGCAAGAAAGTCACTCCTTCTTGATACTTTACCTTACAGTCTGAAAAAGCTAAAAATTTAACCCAGCCTTCTTTGGCTGGTACATGACCCTACTCACAAGAAAAGGAAGATTATGATGCTGTTCTTGGCTCTGAACTTCGCATTGGGTAGGCTGCCAATGAAGTGGGCTGGCTGCCTGATAGAGACCTAGCACTGAACCTTAGGGCCTTGGGAATATGAAAGGAACAAGATGGCTCTTCCCCACAGTGATGGTTGGAAGTGTGCACTGTCTTTGCTGGTCACCTGCTCCTGAGCTGCCATCCCCCTTGTGTGCCAGGTTAATCCCAGAGCAGCACAGCTCTGCCTGTGTGCCTCCTTACAAACCTTCAGTGATTTCCCCTGCTTAAACCCTGGCTTCTTTAGCCTGACATCCATAACTCACTTTGGGGTTTAACCTTTCCTAGCCTCAGTTTGCCATCTATTCTACTGGGGATGTTTTAGGATAGCTGTGCTTATTAAATGATATAAGACAAAGAACCTAGTTAGGTGCCTCTTGGATAATACATTTTCAAAAATTAAGGTTTCTTTTCCTCCTGCCCTTTCCTTTCCTCCTGCCCTTTCTGGCTTCTCTCCAGTTTTTCTGCCTGATTGGTCACCACTTCCTTCTATCGAAAGTCCTCGTCATCCAAACCAAGTCTTCTTTGCTCCTTGCCGATACTCTTTGCTTTCCTCCTTTGGGCCTTGATTTACAGTGTTACTTTGCTGTGGAACCAAATGCTGCATTTCTGTCCAGTTTCAGCTCAAATACCGGCACCTCCAGGAAGCTTTCTTTGATTCCTTATTATGCCTCCCATTAAGGATAGAAAAGACCAAGGTGTTTCTCTCAGTCTTATTCTCAAGACAGCATGTTTTACCTTCGGTCACCAAAATATGTGAGGATTGCTTCCCACTAACAACCAGTTCTCCAGCAGACACCAGTGGAATGTTCTAAAATTTAACTCAATTCTGACACTGTCTACCTGGACATAGCGTCAGACTCTACAGGCTAAGGTCTCAGTCCATAGACTGTCCCCCACTTAAGATACCAGTTGCTTATAGTAGATTGTCACTATACTTCTGATTGACCATCTATAAATCTAGAATTCTCATGACTCTGTCCTTAAGTTTAATTTGCTAGAACAGCTCACAGAACTCAGAGAAACATTGTGCTTATATTTACCGGTTTCTTATTTAAAGGATAACAGCAGAGACACACAGAGCAAGACATGTGGAAAGGGGAACAGAAATTCCACACACTCTCTGACATCCAGTGTGTCCACCTACCTGGAAGCTCCCTCAACCCTGTCCTTTTGGTTTTCTACGGAGGCTTTATTACGTAGGCATGATTGATTACATCATCGGCCATTGATTGGTGATCGACACAACCTTCAGCTCCTCTCCCTTTCCTAGGTTGGGAAGGACGCAGAAAGTTCCAATCCTCTAATCACATGGTTGGTTCCCCTGGCAACCAGCCCCTTTCCTGACGTTGTTCAGAAGCCCACCAAGAGTTGCCTCATTAGGACATAAGATGCTCCTTGCACCCAAAAAATTCCAGAGCTACCACTCTGTAGCTCTCCCATCCCTCTTAGGATGTCTATGTTAAGAACCAAAGTCAACAACCAAATATTAGAACAGAAGATTCTCCTATCACGTCTGTCTACAGGGGATTTAGGAGTTCTGTCTTAGGAACCTGGGGCAGAAACCAAATATATTTTTCTTTTTCTTTTTATCTTCTTTTTTAAATTTTGTTTTCTTTTTTTTATTTATGGTGGGGTATCCCCATGTTGCCCAGATTGTTCTCGAACTCCTGGGCTCAAGTGATCCTCTCACCTTAGCCTCCCTGGTAGCTGGGATTGCAGGCACATGCTACTGTATCTAACTTATATTACATATTATATCATAAGGTGGCACCCCCATACATACAGCGACACCCCAAGGTAGGACTGACTTCTTTGCTATCTCAGCAGCTGCACTATGTCAGTCACCACTTCCTGCATTCTCATGTTCACACTTGCTGTTGTCTTAGGGTTTTTCTCTTGCTACTCCCTCCGTCTGGAAGGTTATTCTTCAGGACCTTCATACGGCTCGCTTCCTCACTCCATTCATGTCTCTGTTCAATTGTCACCTCCTCATGCAGGCCTTCCGCGACCACCTCATCTAAAACAGGGTCTCCCGTGCCGTCTTGATTCCCTGCCTCTTTACTCTCCTTTGTCTTCCTCCATTGCCCTTAACCCCACCTGAAATCATTTGCCTGTTTTGGATTGTCCTTTGTGCCCACGTGAACTTCATGTACATAGGGTCTTTCTGCTGTCATTGGTGTATCACCAGTGCCTGGTACATAGTAGATGCTCCATAATTATTTGCTGAACAGGTGAATTTATTACCACATCATACTGTAATCTGTGTCAGATACGCCCGGAGGGTAAGAGCAATTTCAATGTCTGATTCATCATTACATCACCTCCAGTGCGTTACCCATCATAGTATACAGTAAATATTTGACTAAAAGACAAAGGTCAGTAGTGAAGAATGAATTTCCCAGGGTCCATGTGACCTGACTTCTGTTTTAATTAGAGGTTGTTGACCACCTACCGTTTGTCAGGCACTGCCAGACACTTTCGTATACATTGTCTTCTCTAAAGCTCACAGAGATTTTCTCACCCTCAAATGTAATATTACAGTTAGAACCTTGGGACTAAGACTAAGAACCTGGGAAAAGTTCTGCAACTTCCCCAACAGCTGCCTCCTCTCCTGTCACTGCCGTAGCTCCCACCCTCTTCTCTACCCATGGTCGTCCTCATCCCTGCTCCTGCTGATCACTCATCTGAGGTTAAAGCCTGTCTTTCCAGCATCTTTGACTTTCATTCATTCACTCACTAATTCATTCATTCACTCCATCCTGAGCTATCTATGTCCTTCAAATCCTTGTTGATGATGAGGAAATAGTCCTCCCTTTTCTACCTGTACATTGTGCTCCCTAGAATTTCTTAAAGTAGCCTGACTTCCCTTCTTCTCCTTGTGGCCCTAATTCCCTCAGCCTTGGAAGGACTAGCACAGTCTCTCCCTTTCCCATGCTTACTTTCATGCCATTGAGCTGCCATCACTCCACATTTTTCCACAAACCGGCGGGGTCCACTTCTACCACCTTCCACACGGGTCATATACTTTGCATTGCCGACTTTGGCCCTTCACTTAAGTATTTCCAAAGCCATCTTCCCCTTAGTAATAGTTCTAGTACTCCTGAGTTATGGTATAGTGGAATAAGCACTGGAGTAGGAATCAAAAGAGCTCACTAGGAGGCCTCACCTTCTGACTTAGCAGCCATAAGACCTTGGGAAATCACTTAACCCCTCTAAGCCTTAGTTTCTTCCTGGAATGTGGTAATAAGGATACCCACCCTACTTAACCACTTCTAAGAGTTTATTGAGGAATGAAATGAGGTATGCAGTGGCAAGTTAACTTATAAATTATGACTGTTACATAGATGGCAGGTATAATTGAAATTACCCTTTCATGGTGTGCCAAACTTTGGATATCATTTTCACTTGAAATGTCTTTCTTTGTAATCTCCTGGCATCACTTGCCTTCTGACTCAGCCTCAACCTCAAGGACAGTTTTTTCTTTAGTCCTTGTAGGAATAGCCTTAAAATCCTGATTCCTTAACTGTCCTCCATACCCCTTTGGTCATTTCTCAGTCCTGAGTAGCCCCTACGAGACACTCATAACATTTGTGCTGCTGAACTCTACAAAACCCAAAAAGTCTTGAATTATTCTTGTTGCCTTTTCAGATACCTCCTCTTAATATTATGTGTACACCTGTCTCTCTCTCTCTCTCTCCCATTCCTAAATTCTCTCTCCCCTATATATGCTTCATTAATTCTTACTCTTTTTATTTTTATTTTTTTGAGATGGAGTTTCGCTCTTGTTACCCAGGCTGGAGTGCAATGGCGCGATCTCGGCTCACCGCAACCTCCGCCTCCTGGGTTCAAGCAATTCTCCTGCCTCAGCCTCCTGAGTAGCTGGGATTACAGGCACGTGCCACCATGCTCAGCTAATTTTTTGTATTTTTAGTAGAGATGGGGTTTCACCATGTTGACCAGGATGGTCTCGATCTCTTGACCTTGTGATCCACCCTCCTTGGCCTCCCAAAGTGCTGGAATTACAGGCTTGAGCCACCGCACCCGGCTTTAATTCTTACTCTTAACAAAATATTTTTTTTGGTCATGCTTTCACTCATTTTGATATTTTTGAATGACTTTCTTCAGTTAGGTTTCAAGTCCAAGTGTAGATTTCAGCAGGACTGACTCCGTTGTAAATCTAAGAATATTATTTATGAAAAGTACGGAATCTATAGTAATACTCTGAAATCTGGGTCTTCTTCCAACTTATGTCTTTGTCTCTCCCGTCAACTCTTTCCTCTGTCTCCCTTGTAGGCGCGCGATTCTTCCTGCGGCAGGGTATCTGACAGTGAAGCTATGTCCCCAGAACCAAAAGAAAAAAAGAACTCTTGATCGATGAACCCTGTGTATTCTCACCCAGCAGCTTCCTTTCCTGTTGAATGCGTCTCTTCAGATCATCCCTGCATGTTTCATTAGGTGGAAATGACAGAAAGTGTTTGGGGTGGGGAAGGTTATACTTGGTCACTTTTGAGAGGGTCATGATTGAGATATATCGAGACTTCTTCTCCACCTTTTCTTCTTTCTTCTAGTCCTTTCTCATCTTTTTTTCTTTTCTTCCCATTACTGCAGAGTTAGTTCTCAAATAATGTCTTTGAGACTGTCACTAGTCAGTCTTTAAATAAAGAATGGGGGCCCGCCGCGCTGCCACCTCCGGCAGCTCCTGCGCCATGGGCGGGCTCCGGGAGAACGCTCTGCGTCGGGCGTCCAGCTCCTGCGACCCGCACTCTGTCCCTGACCTTTTCCGTCCCGAGACCCAGGGTTCGGACTTGGAGCCTCCGAGCGCCTCGGGCCTCGGAGCAGCGCTCAGACCTTTGCCGCCCGGCTTTCAGAACTCGTTTCCCCAGGATCGCCACTACGGGAGCAGCAATGGGTACCCGCGAATACCCCACCTCTCCTCCGCCGGACAGCACCTCTACAGCCCGGACAGCACCTCTACAGCCCCGCGCCGCCCCTCTCCCACACTGGAGTCGCCGAATACCAGCCGCCACCCTACTTTCCCCCTCCCTACCAGCAGCTGGCCTACTCGCAGTCGGCCGACCCCTACTCGCACCTGGGGGAAGCGTACGCCGCCGCCATCAACCCCCTGCACCAGCCGGCGCCCACCGGCAGCCAGCAGCAGGCCTGGCCCGGCCGCCAGAGCCAGGAGGGAGCGGGGCTGCCCTCGCACCACGGGCGCCTGGCCGGCCTGCTGCCCCACCTCTCTGGGCTGGAGGCGGGTGCGGTGAGCGCCCGCAGGGATGCCTACCGCCGCTCCGACCTGCTGCTGCCCCATGCGCACGCCCTGGATGCTGCGGGCCTGGCCGAAAACCTGGGGCTCCACGACATGGCCCACCAGATGGACGATGTGCAGAATGTTGATGACCAGCACCTGTTGTTGCACGATCAGTCAGTCATTCGCAAAGGTCCCATTTCCATGACCAAGAACCCTCTGAACCTCCCCTGTCAGAAGGAGCTGGTAGGGGCCGTCATGAACCCCACTGAGGTCTTCTGCTCAGTCCCTGGAAGATTGTCTCTCCTCAGCTCTACTTCTAAATACAAAATGACAGTGGCTGAAGTGCAGAGGCGATTGTCCCCGCCTGAATGCTTAAATGCCTCATTACTGGGAGGTGTTCTCAGAAGAGCCAAATCAAAAAATGGGGGCCGGTCCTTGCGGGAGAAGTTGGACAAGATTGGGTTGAATCTTCCAGCCGGGAGACGGAAAGCTGCTCATGTAACTCTCCTGACATCCTTAGTAGAAGGGGAAGCCGTTCATCTGGCTAGGGACTTTGCCTACGTCTGTGAAGCCGAGTTTCCCAGTAAACCAGTGGCAGAATATTTAACCAGGCCTCATCTGGGAGGACGAAATGAGATGGCGACTAGGAAGAACATGCTCCTGGCGGCCCAGCGTGGTCCTCCGTCCTCATGCGTAGTTGGTTCTGTGCCCTTGACCTGTAAGGAGCTAGATGGAACTCATGGAGTCGATTGACTGTCTTCACAGGCAAGTGTGTAAAGAATTCACGGAACTTCTCAACCGAGACCAGACACCCAATGGGACCAGCAGGTCCTCCGCCCCAGTCTTGGAGACGAACATACAGAACTGCTTGTCTCATTTCAGCCTGATTACCCACGGGTTTGGCAGCCAGGCCATCTGTGCCGCGGTGTCTGCCCTGCAGAACTACATCAAAGAAGCCCTGATTGTCATAGACAAATCCTACATGAACCCCAGAGACCAGAGTCCAGCTGATTCTAACAAAACCCTGGAGAAAATGGAGAAACACAGGAAATAAAAGTGGGATGAACAGAGCTTCGGAGAGTCGGGAAGGAACAGGGCTGCAAGAATCCTTCTCCACCGCACAGACTGAGAACCCTCTTGGCCTGGGGGAAGTTTGTTACCTACCTTACTATTTAAAGGGCCTCCACTGGTTCCGGATCGGCAGCAATCACCTCCGCTCCTGGATTCCTTAGTTGTTTCTCTAGCGCTGAGCTATCTCCTCACTTTGGACCTATTATCCGAAGGTGACAAGTACTGGCTCTTTATTCATTAAGCTTTTATTTTTTTTGAACCCCATTCTTTCCTTCTCTCTGAAAGTGGTGCTACAAGTTTTAGAATCTTTTAAATACATTGCCTGGGCTAACAGACCCACACACTTAGCCATTGAAATGTCAGATTGATGTGCTCTAGATCAACAGATCAACAATACCTTTTTTTTTTCAGTGTTAAGGTAATGGCTGGTTTTTGTGTCTGCTAAATATTTACCTTGAAAAAAAGAAAAGTGTGTATCTAGCTTCTTCGGAGATCAAGTCCTCTGGTAGGAGGCAAAGGGTCTATCTGCTTAGCAACTGATTAATAGGTGGTATTTGACACACTCTAAACCCCGTGTTCAAAGGGGGCCTTCTGGTTTTAGGAAACTTGTAGAAACCAAGCCTGCTGAAGATTTTTCCCCTGTCCTTTTTTTTTTTATTATTTAAAAAAAAAAAAAAAAAAAAAAAAAAAAAACTTTGAAAGTTAACTCTTCAAATGGGAGGCTCTATGAAACGACATGTTCCTTTAGGGTACTGAAGCTTTATTTGCATATTTATTTTAGATGTTTCAAGTAAACTTGAAAAGGGTAGGCACGAAGCAATTTGTTGCTGCCTGTCCCCACGACCCCAAGTCCCCGTGGAGGTTCTGTATTTTAAGAAACAGTGTGTTGAGTGTACAGATTTTATTTATGCATAATTTAATGGGATCTGTAAATACTGGTGCACTTCTTACAACTTTTTTGAGACATGGGATCCAGTTTTAATATTAACTTTGAATGGTGATGGGTAATCTATAACGTACCGAAGGTTTTATTCATATATATACAGGGTATTGAGAATTAAGAGGATGCTGGACTCTGTTCTTGGCTTGGAAGAGTCCATTTAGTTGAAGCTCTCTGTTTAGAAAGCAATAACTTTGTGTCTCGTTCCTGTTGGACAGCCCCTAAGGTGAGTGTGCAGAACGGTGTGTGTGGGTGAAACGGAGATTTGGAATTGAACTCTGCCTGTAAATGTTTTCCAAATAATTGTTGTGTGTATGATATGTGTACAATAAACGTATTCTCATTAGAATCTGAAAAAAAAAAAAAGAATGGGTCGCTGTTTTTATTGCTAACTCTTGTATTTAAAATTGGTAGACCAGGTGTGGTGATTCACACCTATAATTCCGGCAGTGTGGGAGGCTGAGGCAGGTGGATCACTTGAGCCCAGGAGTTTGAGACCAGCCTGGGCAACATGGCAAAATCCTGCCTGTACCCCAAAAAAATACCAAAAAAAAAAAAAGCCAGGCGTGGTGGTGTGCACCTGTAGTCTCAGCTACTTGGGAAGCTGAGGTGGGAGGATTGCTTGAGCCTGGGAGATGCAGGTTGCAGTGAGCTGCAATCATACCACTGCATTCCAGCCTAGATTACAAATGAGACTCAATCTCTAAATCAGTCAATCAGTCAATAAAATTGGTAGCAAGTCATTGGTCCAAAGAGCAGCCAGCTCCCTGTTATGTCACACCAGACTACGACAAGACATTTCTCTTTCCCAGTCTTCCTTCTGCCCCATTTCTGCCTTGGACTTGCCAGTAGTTTTCTGCTCAGCTTCACTTGGAGAAGTAACAACAGCCAGTGTGCTTCATCCCCTATAAAAGGACCTGTCCCACTTTCTTTCTAGGTGCCCAGAAAGGGCATTTTGGAGAAAGTTGGCTAAGAGGAACTAGAAGTAGAAAGAGAAAAAGATAGGAAGAACTTGCTTGAGGCCTAGAATTCTAGTTCTTCGCCCTCAGAATAATAATAGGGGATAGCTGTCACTGTTTTAGAGGTTCTAGAAGATTGGTCAAACTTTTCTCTTAATGATTCAAGGCTGGATGATGAACGGAATGCATTACCCACTTCCTCTGTGTTGTAAACTCCATTGTATGTGACGGAACTTGAATTGCATCCTAATACTTAAGGGAATGAAGCGAAGGGAAGAAGTAGTTGAGGAAGACAAAATGAACAGTCTTTCAACAAATCTAATTTTCACTTCTTTATAGATGCTTCTTGCACTTAGCACTTCTGACAGAGAGGATTTGGCCAATTACCAGTCCCCTGGAGGTGGCACAGTGACTTAGAGAAGGCTGATTTAATGGAATCTTACCTGGCCTTTCAGCATCAGAATCACTTCTGGTCTTACTGCCATTCTTGGACCTCACCTCCATTCTCATTGGGTTTGCTTAAGAGTAGTGCAAGCAGGCCGGGTGCAGTGGCTCATGCCTGTAATCCCAGCACTGTTGGAGGCTGAAGCAGGTGGATCACAAGGTCAGGAGTTTGAGACCAGCCTAGCCAATATGGTGAAACCCCATCTGTACTAAAAATACAAAAATTAGCTGGGTGTGGTGGTGGGTGCCTGTAGTCCCAGGTACTTAGGAGGCTGAGGCAGGAGATTTGCTTGAACCCAGCAGGCATAGGTTGCAGTGAGCTGAGATCATGCCATTGCACCTCCAGCCTGGGCAACAGAGCGAGACTCTGTCTCAAAAAAAAAAAAAGAGTAATTCAAGCTGCTGGTGTTGCGTAGCATCTGCCTCAGGGATGAGTCTCTTGGCTTTCAAGCAGAAATCTTGGTAAACACATGTATTTAACCACCTGCGTCTAAGAAGAAATGGAGGCAGTTTCAGAACAGGTGTACAAATCTAAATGTTTTCGTAGAAATCTGAATGTCACCTGTCATCACAAGCTGACTGCCCTTCTGCTTCTTAAATGGCATGCTAACTTCCTGACAAAATGAAGAATACAACGATAGAACCTGTTCAAAACTAGAAAATCTTGTTGATAGCAAGTAGCTTATTATAATGGAATACGAACTCAGCATCCTCAGAAATGTGTTGGCTTAACTTGCCAGTATCCCAAGTGAAACTCAAGTTTTTGCTACCATAGTGGCTGCCTCTCTTCTTGAAGGACTTGCTCCCTAGAGAAGAAGCTCATTCCAGGTTCATGCAATGTCACAGTTAACATCTGCCCACTAGTCCTGTGGCAACAAACTGCCTGGTTGTAATACTGGCTTCCCTACTTCCTAGCTATTTGACTTACTGCAAAACACTTAACTTTTCTGAGCTTTGTTTTCTTCATCAACAAAATTAGAGGCATAACAGTAACAATTTCATAGGGTTGTTGTGAAGACTGAATGAAAAAAAAAGAAGTTATTTAAAGCTCTTAAAATAGCCTCCCTGGCTGTCTGAGGATAGACCGCCGTCATGAACAACATGGTAACTGCCTGAACTAGAAAGTTAATGACTAACCGACTACTTCAGAGGAAACAAATGGTCATTGATGCCCTTCACCCTGGGAAGGCAACAGTACCAAAATGTACACGACCACACTGGATGTCTTCTTTGTATTAGGCTTCAGAGCTCATTTTGGTGGTGGCAAGACAACTGGCTTTGTCATGATTTATGATTCCCTGGATTATGCCAAGAAATATGAACCCAAACATAGACTTGCAAGACACAGTCTGTATGAGAAGAAAAAGACCTCAAGAAAGCAGCAAGAGGAACGCAAGAACAGAATGAGGCAAGTCAGGGGGACTGCAGAAGTCAGTGTCAGTTTCGGCCAAAAGAAATGAAGTGTCTAGCAGTGAGCTGGAGATTGGATCCCAGCGGAAGAGGTAAAGGTGTTGCAATGATATTGTCTGCGGCCATTGTGAATTTTTCATAAGGAGATTCATAAACTAAAAACTTTCTTGTGGAAAAAAAGCTCTTAGAATAATGACTGATTAAATAAATATGCTTAATGGATGGATGTCAGCTCTTCGAATAATTTGTTGTCGTTATTATTATAGTTATTATGACAGTGTCCTGGATCCATAAAGAACAAATCTGATCTTTATTTTCATATGACAACTTCATCCTTGTTTGAAAAGTGCTAAACATCCTCAGTCTCAGAAAGTCTGCTTGTCAACTTAGTTCTACAAAAATGGCAAAAAGTTGCGGAAGATGACAGTAAGTTCAAGGCACTGAGGTAGGTTTAGTATATTCAAGCCTATGTAAGGAACAGAATGGTAAGGCATTTTTAATATCTGAGTAGTGATGCCTTCTTCCCAGGAATGTCTATCCCCAAAAGAGAGGTTTTTAAAGAGTAGAAGTAAAATAAGTCTGGGAAAAAAAAAATGGTTGAGTTTTTCTTTGCTGGTTCAAATGTAATGCCTGCTTTATGATGCATATAAAATTTTACTTTTTTGTGTGTCATTTATGTGATAAAATCTTAGACATTTTAAAATGTGAATGTGACTTTTTTCAGAATCATCCCAAACATACAAAGCAAGCCGGATAGCCTTATTAGCTAATAGATGGTATTGGGTGAATATTCTCATAACTTTCAGAGGCCAAGGAAGATCCCGCCCGAAAAGTGCGCATGTGTGGCAGCGAGCGGCTCAGGAAGGGCCACAGGCTCTGCAGACCTTCCCACCGCTCCCCAGCCTCGGAGGAGGAACTTCTCCAGGAATATGGTTTCTGCAGGCCCAGGGGCTAGGAGAGAAATCCAATTGACTACTCTAAGGGGATTATAACCCCAGAAATACGTTTATGACCCATTTTATTGCCGACTTCTGGCTTTAAAGGAAGATCCACTGTTTTGTTTGAGAATAAAAATCAGTTTCTCTTGGACAGTCATGCAGTCATGTGTTCCTGGGAAGATGACGGATCAAATCTTCGTTAAACTGTTGAGGAATGAGGGAGAGCAGGGCTTCCTCTGGCCCTCCCCACAGTGGCTGGCAGCAGTTAGGCTAGGTTGTATGGGCTTCAGAGCCTTTTGTTGGGTTTCTATGGCTCTAACCTCAATTAGCCCATCTGCATGGAGAGGAGGGACAATGCAGCTTTTAACCCAAGTTTGATGGCTTCAATGTGGGTCTCTTTTTTTTTTTGCCACCCTTCTATTGACAGCTGGATTTAGGCCTAGAGGCCATCTTTGTGAAGTGATTTGAGGGTTGTCAGTGAAAGTTGATTGTTTATATTGGTGGGCAGTGGATGAGGCTATGGGAGGAAAATGTCTAGGGTCTAAGAACTTTGCCTGATATTAGTTCCATGGCTTTGTCGTCTTCTTCTTCTTCTTCTTCTTCTTCTTCTTCTTCTTCTTCTTCTTCTTCCTCTTCCTCTTCCTCTTCCTCTTCTTCTTCTTCTTTCTTCCTTCTTCTTCTTCCTCTTCTTCTTCCTCTTCTTCCTCTTCTTCTTCCTCTTCTTCTTCTTCTTCCTCTTCCTCTTCCTCTTCTTCCTCTTCCTCTTCTTCCTCTTCCTCTTCTTCCTCTTCCTCCTCTTCCTCTTCCTCTGCTTCCTCTGCTTCCTCTGCTTCCTCTGCTTCTTCTTCTTCTTCTTCTTTTTCTTCTTTCTTCTTTCTTCTTTCTTCTTCTTTTTGAGACGGAGTTTCGCTCTTGTTACCCAGGCTGGAGTGCAATGGCGCGATCTCGGCTCAACGCAACCTTCGCCTCCTGGGTTCAGGCAATTCTCCTGCCTC